GGTCCCCCCTCACCGCCGCCGCCTCCCTGGCGAAGGCGCGCGCGGCGCCCTGGCAGCCGCTCTCGCGCAGGAAGGCGAGCACGAGCGGGAACAGGTCACTGGGCACCGCGCGCCGCTCCGCCATCATGCACACACGCACGTGCCGCCTGCGCGCGCGCACCGCCCCCCCGCGCGCCTGCGTGCGTGCGCGCGCCGAGGCCCTGGCCCCGGCCCCGCCCCGCCGCCATATTGTCCGTGCGGCAGCGGCGGCACAGCGGCTGCGGGGCAGGGAGGGGGGAAGGAACTCCCTTGGTGTCGGTGCCGCCTCCCCGTACTGCGGGACGGCTGTCCGGCGTGCAGGAGCAGCAGAGGAGGGGCTGGGAACCCGGGAGTGCCCACACGGCACTTCAGGACTTAGGTCTCCCTGAGCCCGATCCCCCTACTTGTAATCCGCTTTGAACGCCGTCACTGAAAGGAGAGTGCTAGGGAGCAGGAGTGAGGAGCTCGGGGAGTCGCCGTCACTGAAAGGAGAGTGCTAGGGAGCAGGAGTGAGGAGCTCGGGGAGTCGCTGTCACTGAAAGGAGAGTGCTAGGGAGGAGGAGTGAGGAGCTCGGGCAGTCCTGGGTAGCGGGGATAAGGCTGCTCCGGGGAGGAGAACAAGCCGGTGGCTGTGGGCAGCCGGCACTGGCAGAGCCCTCACCGACACGGCGCAGCCCCACGTGGCTGGAACACGGGAGGCAGGGCTGAGTACTGATAACGGGCTTCATCGGGTGTCTCGGGAAAAGGGAGCTATAATTCCGAGAGCAGTAATTCTCCATTGCTCGGTAATTTTACACGGGCCTTTACAATGTAAGCTGCTGTAAGGGTAACTGCCAAAGGAGCAAGTTTATGAATGTTTTAGTTGAAGTAGTTACAACGTGAGTATCCAGTTTTTGACAAGAGGCGCTGAATAAAGACGTTCTGTAACCGGCTGTAAAGACGCTGTTCAGCGGACAAGTTCAAGTGAAGTTCAAGCTCCAAACGACCACCAGGGACCCCTAGCGACCAAATAAGGCCTTCTGAACAACTTCTTACAGCTAATTAACATGTTTGAATTTTATGAGAGAAGTAGTGAATACGTAAGACATTTGATGAAATATGTAAAATTTTAAGTAAATATTAGCTATGCTGACTGAAGCTCTGCTGACCGAAAAACAGGACACAAGATTAGAGGAGCTATCCTCCCTGTGTGTTCTGTGCTGATGATAAAGAATGCTCACAAATTGAGTCTTAGGAGTTTCTTATTTGCCACTTTCTGGTAACAAACCAGGTCTGGGACACCAGATAATGAATCCATACAGGAACAAGGGGAAATGGTGCTAGAGGAAGTAATAATAATAATGGCCAGTCTTCGCGAGCGAAGATCCGGGGAAGGTCTTTACACCTTCCAGCCTGCGCATTGGATTTCTTAGGTGAGACACAGTGTGCGCGGAACTGAGCCCACCCTTTAATCCTAAGGTTCATCTGCCGGGGCCAAGCGAGCTTGGACAGTGGCAGCGAGGTCCTTAGGACGTAGGTGGGTTGCCTTTAAGGGCTAACGAGCCCCACCTGCCCGGAGAGGAAGTAATGCTATGGTCCTAAAGCACAAACCTGTAAGAGAGAGAAAGGGAATGTGAGGTAAGGCTGCTTACAATAAAGGCTTGAAGAACTTCAAAGAGGCAAGGTTAGAAACAGGGCATGAAACAGGTATACCTCGAGCAAACACTGAAGACCCAGGCCTGAGCTTAAATGGAACTTCTGGGCCTATGGGCAAAAAGTGGCTGTGGCTTTAAGTTAGTAATTTCTCTAGGGAAGTTTTTTTTCTGTAAAACTGAAGGTTTGCTCTGATGGTTGTAGCTCTTTGTTCTTCTTGCCTTTGTGATGAGGTTTTTCTTGATTCTCTTCAATAGAATGTGCTATAAAACTTGCTGAGGGCAAAGGAAAAAGAGAGTCGTGTGCTGAAAGTCCTGATTTAGGGCTGCTAGGGTAAAAAAGAGCAGTAGTAGGTATGTAGCATTATGCTTTTTACATGTTCTCTACCTAGTGTTCTGCACTTAATGATTTCCAAATTACTGCTGTTCCTGCTGTGTGGGTGTTCTGTCCCTCTCCTAGTGCCTGATGAACACACACACTTGGGTGGGGCTCTGTGCCCAGCAAAGGATTCCTGTTGCTGGTGTCTCTGGAAAGTGCCACGTTTGCACTCATGGGGAAGTAAAAGTCAGCTCTTGTAGTGGTATGTTATACTGTAAGATCCTGTAATTTTGGACAGGTGCTGTAGCCTGTGGTGTAGAAAAGGGACAGGCAGCTGAGAGTTGGTTAAATGTGTGTACTTGTTTTCAGATGTCCTTGACCTGCCCTGCCCCTGTTCTGTATGGAATAACACAGGGCTGTGTTGCAGAAAAGAAACCGTTTCCAGGAACTAATATTTCTCTTAGTTTTTGTAGCTACAGCTGCAAGCTTCATCTGCAAAGGTCAGCAAACTTGTGCTTTTGTCTGTATCTGAAAGGAAGACATGCAGCCACTGCTGGTAAACTGTCCTTATTTTAAGTCATGCTGTCTGAAGTAACTGCTGTGAAGAACCAGGGAAGTTACTGACTCCCTTTGTTTCTCATCTGGTTAGTATCTCTCTTTCCTGCCCAGCCTTTGCCAGTAAGGTCTGTTCCCTGTGCTGTGGGGCAGCTTCTCTTCAGAGATGTGTGTCTGTCTAGGTGTGCGTTTCCCCCGTGTTGTGCCTGCAGCTGTTCAGATGACCTTGCAGGGAAAGCCATTTTGCTCTTTATTCCCCAAGGCAGTAGTGGGAGATCCTGGGATCTAAAAAGCAAGCAAATCAAACTGATTTATGCTATTGCTTGTAAATTCCTTTGCTCCACGTACCTATTCCTCATAGGTCTTTTCAGTTTTCCCCTTGGCTGTTAAATCTCTTTTGTTAAGGCTGCAGAGTGACCTAATCATCTTGGAAGAGAACATTTTTGTGAGAAGTCTCTGTTCTTCTACTCTTTTTGTGGCCAAGAAAAAGTGAAGAGAGGTAGAATGGGTGTTCAAACACTTACTGAATCTTTCCTTGTTACCCCTCATAAGTACCTAGCGAGAAAGCAATGTCTCTAGAAGAAGCAATCTAGTCCTTTTCTTTGGACAGGGATAAGACAGACCCTTGAGAATAATGCTGCAAATGCAGCTGTGGTTACATGCTGCAGTGATTTGAAGTGAGGAAAGAGTTGCACAGTCAGTTTTGGGCAAGAGAAGATGAAAAGCTCTCTCTGTTTCCTTTTTCTTTCCTTAGTTCGTTACGAGCTGTGTAACTGTCCCTTAGGCCAGCCTAATGTTCTAGGGTGTGAAGGGGTTTTTGCCTTGATTTATCATCTGAGTTTTTAGGTGGTGGTTGCTGGAACAACACACTAGCAGTTACTTAACTGCCTCATTTGTGGAGGCACATTAATTTCACTTTAGAGACTTGGGAAGCTTAAAGAGGTTTCCCGTGGACTTGCATTGGTTAAATAAAATACATATCATGCCAAGTGACACTGATACATATGGATAAGCCCCATGGGTTCCCACAAAGCAGGAAGATGATTCTGCTAGCCCTTCGTGTGATACTTCAAGGCTTTAAAGAAAGAAAGAAAGTAAAAGCTCATTTTATAAGATCACGTTGAAATCCTCATCTAACATCAGAGAGATGATTTTCTTTTTAACTTTTTATATTGGAATGTAGAAGATAAACAGCTTTACAAGTCAAATAATGTGGAACAATCAAAGTCGTACATGTGGTTATCCATCTGTTTCAATAGTTTTTAATATATGTTTTCTATTCCATAATAGTCAATTTATTTGGCTAGAGACTCTAGTTTCTGATTAGTTAACTTTTGTCCTCCAGATGAATCCCAAATGGATTCTGTGTTGGCACTTTTCTGCAGTGCCTGTGTGTTCTTTATTCTAGTGTGTGTTTTTGGGATGATTCAGATGGGAAAGTTATGGTTTCTTCTTTGCATACCAGAAGTTTCTCATAACACTGTGCTCAGAAAGTACTTTCTGTCCTAGTACTTCCTTATTGTGAGAGCAAACAGTTTGATTTTGGAAGACAGGCTGTGGCACAAGTTTGTAAGCTTAAAGTGGGTTTTGAGTAAAGAAAGATTTGGAGATAACAAGAGAGTTTGACCAACTTCTAAGAGTTGAATAGTAGAAAAGAGTTGGTTCCTTTCTGCTTGTAACCATCACAGTTCTAACATTGGTGTTGGTGACACTAAGCTGCATTCAGAATGTCCACCTGACTGCTTGCAAATGACTGCCTTGACTGGGAAAACAGATTATAAGAAGTCTGCTTTTGCTGTGCTAAGTGCATCAGTGGTGCTCAGCGAAGAAATGTTTCTGAATCCAAATCAGTGCAAATGTTTTTTCTAAGTTTGCAAAGGAATAGGCAGAATTTGTGCTTTGCCTCCAGCAACAAAATTAATAAATTGAGTCCTGCTTTCTGAACTCTAACAGTGTCCTTCCACTGCTTATTTTCTGTGTACTCAAACATGAGCATGGGCATACGGATTCTGGTAAATCTAATTTGAAAGGCAGCATCTTCTAGATCAAAACCTGTAACATCAGTCTGCTTCATTCTACATGAAACAACTTGGTTTTTCCTCTAGGAGTTTTCCTTGCTCATAGGAGACAGAAGTCAAAACGTAAGTTAGCTGTATGCATAAAGCAGGTTTCGCTTGTTCTCTTCCACGACTCTTTCTCCCAGTTTCTCATGACTGAGGGTACGGAGTTTCTGTATCACCGTAACATAACTTTTCCTCGTTGTAGCGCTGTTCCCATGGCCACCTATGGAGTATGTGCCTGGAGCCAGCTGGAAAAGGCAGCTTGGTGAAGAGTCCCGCCGAGCACCGGGAAGGCGAGGCGCGGCCGGGCGGGAGCTGCCCGTGCCCGGCTCTGCAGGGGGCGCCCCCGGCCCGGCGGGCGGAGGCGGGGCCGGGAGGAGCCCTGGGCCGTGCCGAGCCCTGTGCGAGCGGGGAACGGGGACGCGGCACCGGGCTGAGGGCTCCCCGCCGCTCCGCCGGCGATGTGAGGAAAGGGAAGCCACTCTTTCCCCGCCAGTCCCGGACCATGGCGGCCCCCGGTAGGTGCCGCGCCTGTCGCCCCGGGAGCCGGGCGGAGCGGCGGGGCTCGTCCGCCCGGTCGTGCCGCGCTGTGCCCGGCTGTGCCCCCGCGGCCGTGCGGTGCGGTCCGGGAGCGGCTGTCCCCGCTCGGTGCCGGTCCCTGGGGCACAGCGGTGCTGCTGCGCGGCTCTGCGCGTCCCGGGCGCCCCGCTGCTGGGGACAGGGGAAGGAGGGTCCGCTCCCCGAGGTCAGGGGAACCCTGGGGCTCTTCGGAGCAACGCTGGCTCCTTTGTTCGCTCTTTTCTTTTTACCTTGCCTTGCTTCACTTGGCTTGAGTTCAGGGCAGGTGCTGGCAGAGCTGTCCTGCGTCTTAAACGCACTTCGGGTTGGCAGATCGGCGAGCTCTGAGGGAGGGTATTCCGTAGAGGAATCTGTCCCTGTCCGTCTTTACTACTTATATGTTTCTCTGTGATGTTTTATAGGTAAGTCAGTTCTTCCTAAATACGGCTTTATGCCCCTACACTGCACTTCCTTTTGGGGGTATGACTTGGTACCCCTTGCGACAGTGTCTTAGGATCACGAACTGAGCTAGGTTGCCATAACTGAAAATGTTTTAGCTAACATATGTGCTGGAAAAGCTACCTAGAACGGAGCTGTAAACTCAAGGGGACAAGGGGTTTAGCCTGTATTGTGTAAGTCTTGCTAATGCCCAGTGTGCAAGTTCCTCTTCTTGCAGGGAAGTGTATGTTTTATCTAAAAAAGGAAAAACGTGCCATTCTCAGGGTGTAAAGTAACGTTTGCGTTTCACTGGCGCGTATCTCCTTGTGATGTAAAAATAAACTAAACGAAGGCCTCAGGAGACTCGTGGGCAAAACTACTTTTCTCCTTATAAACAGAAGGTGATTTCACAGACACTCTTAAAAATAGAACAACTTTAGATTAACATATCATAATGCAAATCTCATGTTCCTATCACTGAAGTTTGGTTTGCAGAAATTTTATTTGCTTTGATTTGCTATTTCCTCTTGCTTGTTTGCAGCACTTTATTTAAAATGAAGATTTTCTATTCCAGTCAAGGTAAGAAGTCTCACTAGGATGTTAATAATTATTGCAAGTGATCACTATTACTTTGCATTCCATCTATGCAAAGAATGTATTTGTTTCCTCATACATCACTTAAATACATACACTTCAGACACTGAAATATGAAAAGTGCTGAGGACTTCTCTTAATGACCCACCAATAGTTTCTATCACCTCTTGGAAGTGCTCCCTATTTTAAAAAATAAGGAGCTTGAGTTGGGTTTTATTTATACCATAGGCAATTGCCTTTCATGAAGAGAGATTATTATTTTGGACTGCAATATTTGTGTATCTTCCACACATGGGAATCTCAAACCAAACCGGAACAGGCTACATAATGCCTTTCTTATGTAGTCAGAATTGAAGGTGGATTTTTTCTAGCAGATGAAAATAGATTTGCTCCCCACTGTATGGGATCATCTGAGCTGGAGTAAAGGATTTGTGGCTCAGTTCTTTACCTGATCTCTGGGCAATGAGAAATCATGATGTACTTCTGAGAGGTATGTGAAAGATGACACAGAAAAGATGTGTATTATTACAGGCCCTGAATTTTCTTTATGGGACCTACAAGTACAGTTGAAAACTTTATGATCTGTAAATTGAAAAAGGTCAAACCCTTTGGCTTGTGGAATGAAATAGTAGATAATAACAGTTGATATTGTAAGATGTAGTCTTACCCAGAGCTGATACGCCAACTTCCCACAATATTCTTTATCTATTTCAGTGGTAATCAGAACCTTATGATATGACCATAAACCATTATCCCATGCGTGCTTTTAACTTGAAGACTGTCACCTTACTACTCTCAGACATAGTTCGAAGATGAGCCTGATTTGTTTGCTTCTCAGAGAGGGACTGTGAGGGCATGACACAGTCTATCACTATAGGATACTTCTATTCACTTGCCATGGTGATTGCCCAGTGATTTTCACTGAATTGTTTCATCCTCTTCCATTCTGCCTGCCGTTTGTAAGCTAGGGAAAGTTTGTATCATGTTCTTTGTCTGTTGTTTGGTCTGTGGGCCTTAGACCTCAGTTAGTGGTCTTAGGTATTTGTATAATACTGGCTTGTAATCTCATCACTCTGTTATCATTGGTGTATAATGGAGTGTGCACCTAAGCAGTGAAGAGGTAGTTACAGCTGGAAAGGAGTATAAAGATTATGGTTTATCACTGCAAACTGCAACAGACTGCACCTTCATGATTTTCTATGAAATAAATAAATATGCCCCGCAATATTGTTAATAGCGCTGATACTTTGTAAACAGAGGCAAAAGTAATTTTAATACCCTAAGTTCAGGAATGCAGAAATAAGGTATTGTTAAAATTTAAACTAGGTTACTTGTAAGAGTGTGAAAGATTATTGAGATGGTCGGCTGGCACAAGTCTTTCTTCATCATGCTATTTTATATAGTTTTCCTATATTTCTTACTTTATTGAAAACTTCCTTGTGTTTGTTTTTCCAAAACCGTCCTGTCAAAAGCATTGTCAAAGCATCTAAGGTCAGGGTTTAAGGAAATAAAGTAGTTAGTTTTCACCTAGGCATTTCCCTATCTGTGTACAATAGGCAGAGTATACACGGTGCTTTGAACTGTGCTCTGTGAATTTTCCTGTAACTGATGTGTGAAGAATTGTGGAAAAAAATGTTTTGTATTCTTCATTACCCTTTTCCCTGAGGACTGAACAGTAGTTGGTGCTGCAAAGGGAGCAATTTGGTTAGACAAATAATAGCAGAAAGCGAGTCCTGTGTCATCTTTCTTTTAAAAGAGAATGTTGCAATTGAAGTTATTTCTAGATTTTTCTTTTATTTGAAGCAGCTCCAGTGCTGACTTAAGCTTTTTTAGCTCTGCAAGACCCACTTCCAGTATTTTTGCTTATGAACATAGAGTGTTTCTTTGGCTGTAAAGGTGGAGTCAGTAATTTTATTTCTCAGTTCTCCTTTTAGTAGTATTGTTCCTCAGTTTGTCGTGTAAGTGTAGAAGGCTGTAGGAATTGAGGTAAGAGGGCCTGAGGAGAGCTGGCACAGCTCTGTTAAGGGGAATGGCGCACTCATAGAGCAGCATTAGCTAGGGAATCAGTACCTTTCCTGAACACTGGGTGAAATTCTTTCCTGCTGGATGCAAAGACTGCGCTGCTCTGGCAGGGAACTTGCAGTGAGTCTGTCAAGTTTGCATCTTGCGTACATATCAGAGAAGGGAGGCTCTCTCAGATACTTAGTGCCACTGCAGTGCAATGGGTTTTTAAAATCAGTGGCTCCTCCACCCTGTCTCCAAGGTCAGCTGCTTCCTTTCATGAAAGGGCTGGAGAGGGGCCTGTTGGCTAACAGGTTTAGTTGTGGAAGATGTGCACTTTTTAAAGATGAATGATAGGTGTTCCGTTTTAAGAACATTAAAATGCCTGGGAGGCCACTATTGATTTTCCCAGAGACTGGAGGTGGGACTTCTCCTAGAGAGCATTAGGGCAGGACTTTAGGAGCCTTGGACACACCTCGGAGAGACACTGTCTCCCCATCTGTCAAGAGTGGGCTTGGCTGGCCATGATGCAATGTGTGGGCTCCATTCTCAGCAGACAGTTGTGCTGTCTTTTCCCGCTGTACTGCATGTAAATCAGCATGTGACTGTGCAAGCAGAAGTCTGTGGAACATCACCCTTTCTAGAATAACACTTGAATTCTGCTTGGTTTTCTTGTTTTTGCTCATGTGATTCTGTCGTCTTTGTCAGGTGGTGTTCAGCCACCACTGTGATATTTTGGCAATAGTGGTGCACTCACTGGCGTGAAAGCCATCTTTTTTTTCACAGCAGTTCTGCACTCTTAGCTTGAAGGTCCCAAGGTTTTGAGTTCTTTTGGCTGCTTTATGAGTTTGCTGGATTCCCTCCTTTGGGAATGCTCTCTCCTGCAAGCCTCCATCTGGGGTCAGGAGCTGTGTTTGCTCAGAAACGTGCAGCTGTCCTAGTGAATACTGCAGAACTGTACTGTCCATGGTGTCCATGGCTAGGACATCATCCTTTCACTGCTAGAGACTTCCCATTTGTGCAAGTAATCATAACACTATTGAGCACAGAGCACATCTCATGCTTTACTTCTAAAGTGTATCACTTTTGTTGAACTACAGTTTAAAACTGCTAATTGTATAGGTCAGGGCAGGGGTCCCTCAGCCTAGATGTCATTTCAGCCTTAATTTCTTAATGAAAGTTCTGGAGAAGGTGGTAGAACAAAATCTTTGGAGGCTGTGAAATTTTGGTTGAATTTTTATATGCTCACTGCAAAACTGTCATCTTCAGTTCTGGTAAATTCACTCTCTGCAGGTCCTCCTTTTGGCATGCCAAATTTTAGGCACTGCCTTCAATTTTAATTAGAAAACTCTGCCTTTGCTTGCTTCTGGATGGACATGGGTTGGAAATGTTGACACTTTGAAAGAGTCAGACTGAAATTAGAAGAAGACAATTTGCTAATACGATTTAAAATGCTCAGCTCTGAAATTTACCATGGGACTAGAGCTGTAACCTCAAATTTGGGTAACTTCACAGGTAAATGGGAAAATTAAATTTAGCCTTATAGGTTTTCCTGGGATTGATGGGAGAGGACTGCATCATGTCCTGCTGGTTCAGTCTGCATCTGCTCTTCTTAGCAAGCTGGTAACAGTTTTAAAAATACTTTTGTTCCAGAGCACAGAAATGTATGAGTCTGTAGGTAGAAGCTGTCTCTAGAGAACTATGGAAGAAGTCAACTTTGGTGACGATATTTTGTACTGTGTTATGGCCCCACTATTGTATTTATTCTTTCCCTCTGAAGAGAGGGTTTGTCTTGCCAAAATTGTTGGGAAACCTTTGTATGACAGCTCTGGGGGAAGGACTCTTAACGCAGGCTTGCAAAATGCCTGAAGGCTGAGTTACAGAGTTGCTGTTCTGCGAGTGCTGGGGCTGGTGTATCCTTAGCTGCATGCATACTTTGCAGGCAGTTTGCTTTCTGCTGCAATGAGAACAAATGTCTAACACTATGGAAGCCATAGTGACTTCCTGTACGCATCGTGGGACCTCATTTAAATAAAGGGCTTTCTTATTTTAGACGTGTTGTTTAGTGTATGCTCCATTTGATCATGTAATTGATCATGTAATGAGAATGGTTGCAGTTGTGCTGCACAGACCCTTTCCTTGCCTAAAATGATTCAACTTCATACGCAAAGGTGAACTCCCCTTTTCAAGCGAGTTTGTTTTGGAGGTCTGGTTTTTGTGGTTTTTTATTTTCCATCAACATGCTTTAAATCTGTAAATCTCGACATGTAGTTTGCTTCACTTGAAACTACTCTTCTTTATAGGAGAGCCTTCTGAGAATGAAAAAACTACTTAAATTTTGGTGGAGTAGATGCAAGTAGGAGTTCATCCGCCCTTAGAATTCCTCTGTTTCTGTGAACACCTCACTGTGGATAGAACTACTGTTCTTTTGAAGTGCTTTATAGCTTCTGACACAAATTATAGAGACAGAGCTGTGGGTTTTTTGTTGGAAAGCTGTGCGTCAGTTCATGCTTTGAATTTAATCTTTTTTCCTATGATGGTCTTGCCTCTGTACAGGAACCCCTGGAGAATATGACGTGCTGATTGTGTATGCAAGTGACGCTACTGAATGGTGTCAGTACCTCCAGAACCTCTTCCTCTTTACTTGGCATATTAGAAAGCATCGGATTCTGACCTACCAGCTGGAAGGCGAGTCTGCCATCTCCCCCCAGGAGCTGGACCTGTTCAGCAGAAGTCGGAGCATCATCCTTTTGCTTTCTGCAGAGCTCGTGCACAGTTTTTATCTTCCTCACGTCCTGCAAAGCCTTCAGGAAGCTTTATGGCCTCCGTGCAAAGTAGTCAAGCTGTTCTGTGGCGTTACGGACTGTGACGACTATTTGACCTTTTTCAAGGACTGGTCTCAGTGGCAGGAACTCACAAATGATGATGACCCTGATGCTTACCTTGCAGCTGTCAAGAAGGCTATTTCAGAAGGTAAGGTGGTAGCCATGAAGTTGTGCTTTCTGGTCAGAGGTTGGAGGAGGGAGATACATTGTTCTTATTTTAACACTGTTAAAGTTCTTTACTAAAATAGAAAACAAAAGCACCTTGTGCAACCCGTGTAAACTAGGAATTTTTACACGCAGGTTTTTCTATGCCTGATTAATTGGTCCCTAATTCAGAAAAGTTTACCAAAGACTCACAGAGAACTTCTGAAGTTGAGGTTGTCGTAGGTGCCTAGTTTTGAAAGAAAATCAAAAATTAAAACTTTACCTTTAGTGTTCTGCCTGTAAATATTGTGCCCTGAAATTTATTGACCCAAATTACTGGAAAAATGTCTTCTATGTATTTAAGGAAAAGAATCATCTTTTCCTTCAGACTTACTTTTCTGTCATACCAAAACCAAAAGTAAGATTGTCTAATATGTATTCTCTAGCACCGGGCTTAAAATCAGAGATGTAACCATACGGTAACAGATCAGCTTGTTACCTATGATGGAAAGGCAGAGATTAATTTGAGAATTGCACTGATGGCCTTAAAAATAATGCAACCAATCTAAAAGTGATCACCTTGTAACTAGCACAGAAGTATTAACAGCTGGAGACTATAGAAGCCCAATGAGTTTTAATTGATTCAGAACTTTCTAAAACTCTATAAGAGCCTGTGGTGTTTCTTTCTGTTTCTCTTGAAGTGAAGATGGAGAGCTCTGGGGAGTCATGCTGGTCAAAGATGTTTTTATGACATTGCCACATGTAGGTTTGTGGTATTCTTTGTCAGTCTTAGCAAGATTGGAATCTTGCAGTTGCATCTGGGACTAAGATTTGTCTCTGTTTAGAGGCATAAATGAGGCAGTGCAGTCTTTTAGTGTGTCTAGTGTTTTGTGCATAAAGATGCTTTATGCTGGGATAACAAGTGCAATATCCACGATAACAAATTTATCACAGTAAAAATAAATTGTAAAAGTCATGATTTTGGCTTAAATGGTCCCCCTGAAAGAAGATAATTTAGGCATTGTGCTGAAGATGTCATTCTCAGATAACTAGATCACAACAGATATTTCTTAGTAAATTTTAAAAATCTGCATAAGCTGAAGTTTGCATCTCCCTTTCACACACCTCTAAACCATCTTGGATTCCCATTGTATAACCTAGAACTAAAGTAGTCTTTGCTTTTAGTCTGGAAGAAAACAAAAAACAGTGGCTGAACTTTTATACTCTGAAAAATAAAACTGAACAGAGATTAAATAGCTTTTCTGACACTTTCTAGCAAAAGTAAAAGTTTAATTATTGTATTTCTCCAAACTTGGGTCTAGAGCATGGCACCAATGTTTTATTGATTTTTAAATATGCTGTTCAAAGTTAGGAAGGTTTAAACATCTCACTGGACTATTAGTGTTAGAGTTTTTACTTAACATGTCCGAGGACTGTCAGAGTTATTTTAGGCCAGACTAGGAGTAAGTTCTCCTGTAGTTGAAGAGTATGTGAGAATACAAAGGGATGTTGATCCTGAAATCTTTCCCCAGAACCAGCTCTCACCAGTCTCTTCAGGCTTGCTGCATTTTGAGCATCAATTTAGTGAGCTGCCTGTCAGACATCTCTGTCAAAACTTTTTTAGGGAAAGGCTCTACAGTCCGACTTTTCATAGGTGGACATGGACTTCTTCTCCAGAGGTGCTGTCTGTGCTGCAAGTTAGCACGTGCTGAAAAGAACTGTGCTTTAGCTTTATGTAAATGGTGTTTTGAAAGGGAGATTGTGCTTTGGATTTTTGTTGTTGTTTCTACGTAACAAAAAAAATCAGCTTATTTTCTATTTTCTCACTTTAATAAGCATACATTGATGTCAAACTGAATTCAGCATATCCAGAAAATATTTGAATGAGAGAAAAAAATCAAACTCATTTGCCATGGAACATGCTGTAGCATGGTACAGATGGTTTGGTACACAAAGATTCAGAATTTCTGGACTTCTGTTACTGTTGTGAGAGTCCTACCTGATGAGAACTGTCATCTGTGTGCAATGTCAGGTTTTTGATCTGTGCACATCAGAGCAGTTGCAAGGCAAACCATCTGGTCTCATGCTGACTCTTGTGAAGGAAGAACCTAATTAAGATGGGCTACTTTCATGGCCAAAGTATTTGGATGAATGTATCAGATTCTACTTCTGTGGGGGGAAAAAAATGACTGTAACTTCTTCCATTGTGTGATTCTACAGACCACGTTTTGTGAATGGCCTCAAATGCAAATGTTTTGATGTTTCCTCTGAGAAGAAGTCAGTCCCAGGTGTACATAGTTCCCTTTTTGGGTGAAACTGTGAAAACTTTCTTCTTGTTTGGTAATAAAAAAAAAATTCAGTTTGGTTGCAGCCAGTCCCAGCATGAGTGACTTAAGGTACAAGTGTTTGTGACAGCAGACCTCTCCCAAAGAGAAACACAACCTAGCTCTGCTCCCAGGACTTCATTGTTAGGATTTTAGAGGAAGTCAGGAGCTCTTAGAAGGTCTTAGTTAAATCATAGCAGATTGTGAACTTTTCCTGAGTAAGGCAGCCCTCAATTTTTACAGCACTTAGCAGAGAAAGTTTATGGCCATATTTGAAATTATTTGGGTCTGGGTGTCTTTCTCTGGGAAATACTTCTCTTCACATGTGTTCACCAGTACTTCTAATGGCAGTGTCAACACACACTGAAAAACTAAGCCTGATGCTAAAATGGCTGAACTTCAGCTTCCTAATTGTTGAATCCTGGGCTAGTGGGGCGTGTGAGACATGATACAGTGAGGGCAAATTCTGCTGAGGCTGCACACTGGCCCTGCTCAGGCTGTGCTGTTGCTGCTAGCACAGCTGTTGGCTGCAGTTTGTTTAGGGCATCATGGGAACATGACACCCCCAGACATCACATGCTGAAACCTATTTTAATTTTTATTAGTTTGATATGAATTCAGAAATGAGGAAGCACTTATCTGGCCTTGTTGAAAACTGTGTGCTGACATTGACTCTTGCTGTCTTGTTGATGGGGTATTTTTACTTCTACAGTTTCTCAATTCTAGCAAAATGCAGAGGGCATGAAGGTTTGCATTTGCAGGCACTCCTGTTATCTCTGGGGAAGTTTTTCAGGTTATGCAATAGCTGTGCTAAGAACATGGAAATCATAGAATTATTAAGGTTGGAAAAGATCTCTGAGATTGAGTCCAACCATTAATCTAACATTGCTAAGTCCACCACTAAACCATGTCTGTAAACATCTACAAGTTTTTTGTAGATGTTCTACAAAAGCCACATCTACAAGTTTTTTGAACATTTCCAGGAATGGTGATTGCACCATTTCCCTGGGCAGCCTATTCCAATGCTTGACCACCCTTTCAGTGAAGAAATTTTTCCTGGTATCCAATCTAAACCTCCCCTGGCTCAACTTGAGGCTGTTTCTTCCTGTCCCATTACATGTTGTTGGGAGAAGAAATCAACCCCCACCAGTCTACAGCCTCCTTTAAGGTAGAGAGCAGTAAGGTCCCCACTGAGCCTCCTTTTCTCTAGATGAAACATCCTTGCTCAGGATGTCTCTGTACAAGCCAGCTCAGGTCTGGCAAGGTATAGTCACCAGTCAGGGTGCAGTGACCACCCTGCTACTTCATCCCTCTCGTCTGGCTTGTGATATCACACCATGCTGTGCTGTGTGCAATGAGCAGCTGGGAGTCTGTGCCATGCAGTCAAAGTCAGTGACCTTTCTCTTCTTCATGTGTTATCAAATCTCAGTTGGTGTTTCAATTGCTTCTCTTTATTTCAGCTTCATACCTATGTTGTCTTGAAACATTTCAAATTTCTTACTTTAAAAGCTGATGTTTCCAAAGCATTTATGAATTAATCAGTGACTTTGAACCTGTATCCAAGCAAACTCTTGCAGGTTGTCATCTGCCTGAGATTGCTAAGGTGATACCTGAATGTGACAGCAGCTGGGCTGAAGGAGCTGAAGGACAGGCTGAAGGACAGCAGCTGCTGAAGGACAAGTGCAGCCTTGGCTGTGCAGAGCTCTTGTGCAGTGAAACAGACAAGAAGAGGAGTACCAGCAAACTTCTTGTGGATCAGAACTGGATATAAGAAGTTATATGGTGAATATGGAGGACAGTGGGCAGTTAGTTAGAAGGAAGATGAGAATTTTTCTGGAACTCTGTAGATCAGGAAGAGATGGAATATTACTCTACCTAGTGAGGGGCTCACTGAGAGATGCCAGAGACCAAGGCAGTGAGCTTTTTTGAGAGGGAAAGGGCATAACAAAAGCCACATAAGCTGTATCATTCTCCTTCCTATTTATGTCAAAGAATTGAATTCCTGGCTTTCTTCTGTTGCACTGATGAAATAACAATGAAACTTGAGAGCACATCACAGAATCGTTCAGGTTGGAAAGGACCTTTTGAGATTGTCTAGTCCAGCCTTTCTGCTCAAGAGTGGTCAGACAAAACAGGTTGCCTGAGATCATGTCCAGTTGGGTTTTGAATCTCTCTGCAGGTGGAGACTCTGCAGGACTTTACAACCTCTCTGAGCAGCCTGTTCCAGTGTTTGACCACCCTCAAGAGTAACAAGTGTTTTCTTGTATTCAGATGGAACTTAATGTGTTTTAGCTTATGCTCATTGCCCCTTTTCCTTTCAGTGGGCACTATGGAGAAGAGTCTTTGTACCTCTTTTTCATTCTCTCCTATCTTATCAATATAAGATCCCTCTGAGTCTTCTTTTCTCTAGGCTGAAGAGTTTCAGCTCTTGCAGCCTCTCCTCTTATGAAAGATCCTGTGGTCCCATAATCATCTTTGTGGTCCTGTGCTGGAATCAAGCTGTAAAGATAAAGCAACCTTGGAATAGGCTACTTGGAATTTAAGGTCAGGTTGGACAGATGCATTAGATGTTCTCAGGTGTGTCTCAGCCCAGAGGGATGAAGTTGTAGTATGCAGGAGATTCTTTTCAGCCTGACATTTGTAATTATTTGATTGCTAACTTTTGCTAATAGCTGCCATT